CCGTATGAAACACTTAAAACATACCTCTAAAACATCTAAAACATTTGAAATATGAGCTTGCAACATGCATCATATCCCGGTGCGACCTCCTCCGCTGTCTACATCGGGGCGCCACAGAGCAGGCGAGGCCTGAGGGCTTCCGCGCCAAGTCCTGACGCTTTTCCTTGCGCTGGCGGCGTCTGTCGGCGTTGTTCCCACGGGCGGTGGCGAGAGCCGGCCGTGGCGTGGCGGCGGGCGGGCAAGCAAGCGCGATGGGGCAGTCTTGTGGGCAGCAGTGGCAGGCAGGCGGGAGGGCGGGGCGGCGGAGGGAGGAGGAGTAGCGCTAGCGAAGCGGCGGGGAGCAATGGAAGAGGGCGCGAGCGGTGGAAGAAAAGCAGGAGCAGCGTGAGCGGAAGCGGGCGGACGCCAGATTTATTGGGCTGCGAGATTTATTGGTCCGGCTGGTCCACGTGTGACGTCTGGACAGGACGGACGTCCGCGTTCTATCATTTCCGCTGTTTGTTTGATTCCATTTATTTTTCCTGGAATATCCTCAGCTTGATATCCTCGTCATCTCACTGTCACCGGCCGGTCACATCTAATCACCTTAACTTTTTAAGCGGCTTCCTTACATGAAAAAAGAGAGTAAATCTCGTTTTTCGATGAGCTGAACCAATCTCAAGTGATCACGGCCCAGAAATCGTGAACCAAATAGCGCGTTTGCAAGCAGTTTCTTCGAAAGGGAAGTTTGAATCGAATTGCCAAAAGCAACAAAGGCCCTGTTTGGATCCTATGGTTAGAGTTAGTTTGAGTTATTTGGAGCCCAAATAACCCTGAAATATCCTAACAGGTGGATTAGAGTAGGGTTAAAAGCATCTAACCCATCAAAAAAAAACTAGCTCCCCAAGGAGATGCTAATTGGGGTTATTTCTGGTGGGGTCCATACTGGAAAGCAGTTTTCTCACCTCTCTAGCCCGCACCGGATCCCATCGCCCAATTTATCCCCTTCCTCGCGCCTCGCGCGACGACGGATGGAGCGCCGCCGCCGCCGGCCCTAGCGCTCTGCGTTGCCACCCACCGCACCTCGCCTCAAAGATTGCTCCTCAAGCTCGCCTCTCGCTGGCCCGGCCCGGCCTTCGCCCAGCCTGGACCCCGCCTTCCCCCCCCCCCTCTTCGATCCGTGATGTGATGAGCTAGCTCATGCTTTGTTTTATGGAGATAGTTCCATTTGATAGACCATTTGATAAATTCATTTGTTGTAATCCGACCAGTATATTTTTCTTAAATTCAACGTGTTTTGGATGCGACATTTGTAAGGATGATTTGTTTGTGTCATTTGTGAGTGAGAGAAGGTCACACAAGAGATAGCCACACCAAATCCTGCTGAAAAGGTACTTTAAATGAGCCAAATGATTGAAAAGTGCAATTATTGTCAATCTAACCTTGACATCCAAATACCACATGAGTTAGAGTTAGTTGAGGGCTAGAGTTAGAGTTAGAAACTAACTCTAACTCTAACCAAGTTAGAGAATCCAAACAGGCCAAAGTATCACCATGCTAAGCTGCAACCTCTGGAGTGCCAAACAGAAAGTAACCTGGCATAACCGACATAATAAAGTCTCCGGCAACCAAATGTCACAACACTTGGACCTTGTTTAAATTCTCCTAAAAAATTCAGTCCCTATCCTATCGCATATGTGACACATGCATAGAGTATTAAATATAAACTAAAAAATAACTAATTCAGTCCCTATCCTATCGCATATGTGACACATGCATAGAGTATTAAATATAAACTAAAAAATAACTAATTACACAGATTACGACTAATTTACGATATAAATTTTTTAAGCCTAATTAGTCCATAATTTGATAATGTGGCGCTACAGTAAAGTCGCGGAGTACCGAGAACTTCTATAATTTATTTTATTATTACTATTCGAACACTCTCATGTGACGTCCCTAAATTTTAGCTCCTAGATTTAAACACCACCTTAACTACACTGCCTCTTAACAAAGGTACTCCCTATTTCAATAAAAGAATGCAACTATGGATTACGTGTCAACAAAAGTAGTTCACGTTTAACCAAAATTTTAATGAATGTTATTCACATTTAGAGCTTCAAAATAATTTATTATTAAAATATATTTCATATTAATTTAATAATATTTATTTTATATCATAAATATTGATATTTTTATATATAATTAATTGAACTTGATATTAAAACATGATACTATACTAGAATTATTCTTTCGTGTTCTTCTGAGGGTGCAGGAATTTTAACCTGGGGGCTACCGCTCCACCGGAAAAAGGCTACCGCGTAGAGCTGGCAGGCATAAGGCCCCGTTTAGATGCGAAATTTTTTGACTTTTGACTACTGTAGCATTTTCATTTGTATTTAGCAAAAATTGTCCAATTATGGATTATTTAGGCTTAAAAGATTCGTCTCGCCAATTACGGGCAAACTGTACAATTAGTTATTCTTTTTACCTACATTTAATGCTCCATACATGTGCCGCAAGATTTGATGTGACGGAGAATCTTGAAAATTTTTAGATTTTGGGTGGGATCTAAACAGGGCCTAAGTCTGGCCAAGAAAGTTCAGTGCTAGTACTTTGTCATCATGGACATGAATTTTCTGCAGGTAGTTCTTATTGGCCCGGTTAGGGTGCTCTTAAATTCGGCTTCATCCGCTTTTTTTTTTATCTAAAACAATATTTTTCTCTCACAAATTTCTTCAGCATTCCTCCAAACCGTTCAAATTTCTTCGGAATCCCTACAAACGAACATGCCCTAAGTTTTCCTATTCTCGCGTTGCTTCATGATCTCCATTGGTTGGTCCATTTTTAGGACTGACGGTCTGAAAAGTTACTAGTCATACATTCACACGAATCACAGACCCCATTGACGTCAGTATGTTCCAGAAGTTGAATCTCTCTTTTGGGGGTTAGAAGGCCTGCCCTTAGCCTGTCACGTTCAGTCACCTAACAGCAACAAACAAAGGCCTCGTTTAGTTTGCCCGAATCGGCGCCACCGAATGCACTGTAGCTACGCTGTAGCTACAGTAGTATTTTGTTTTTATTTGATAATAATTGTCCAATCGTTGACTAATTAGGCTCAAAACGTTTGTCTCGCAAAGTACAACCAAACTGTACAATTAGTTTTTGATTCTGTCAACATTTAGTACTTCATACATATACCGCAAGTTTGATGTGACAAGAAATCTTCTTTTTACATAGTGCCAAAATTTAGAATTTGGTGGGAACTAAATACCCCAAAACATCCCCTCAATCTCGATAGCTCGATCGTCTTGTTCATGGAAGCCAAGCCCGAGGCGGCGAGGCGCGCCTGATTGCTGTGATGTGATAATAATCATAGCCCGCTGTAGCAAAATCACGCTGTGCATGCACTAGCAACACTGGCCATCCTTCCCGGCCGCCGGAACATGCATGTGTTTCCCGTGCTCACTGCACTGCGTAGGACAGGTTAAGATCTGGCTCGTGGGATACCTGTTCTTGCCGCATGATCTGATTGCCATTATTCAGCCACATGGTGTGGATTGTGATTTGATAGTGTTCCTGACAGATGGCATTTCGGTTCCTTGGCCTAACAGTCTAGAAACAATATCTCTGCATAAGGCAATAAATAAAATCATATGTCCTAGATTCAAGCACGAGTTTGATGCTAGTGAGCCTGTTCGCTAATTGATTTCTAGGCTGATAAATCCGACTGATGCTGGTTTATTGTGAGAGAAAAATACTGTTGGTTGGCTGATAAGCTCTTGTTGAAACTAACACGCGAACATGCTGACTAGCTGCGGTATGAAAAATCGTTTGTTCGATTCTATTCATTTTCTTGGAGTATCCTCAAGTCGACGTCCTAGTCATCGCACTGTCACCACTCAGATGTAATCCACTTTCTAAGCTATTTATTTAAGCAGAGTAATCCGCCAAACCTAGTGCAGAGTATATAATACACAAAATACACTAATTTGTGTTGTTGGCGGCGCGTCTTTGTCGAGATTTCAGTGTTTATTCCAACTTGACGAATTTCATTCGTTTTTTAGCCTTTGCTGGAGAAGGCAAGTTTGGGCTACAATTACTGATAGTCCTTACTTAACTTAAACATGTCCTCGTTAGAGTGATCATGTCCTTGTTAGAGTGTTGTTTTCATGAAAAGAACTTTGAGGAACACCCAAGAATCCAAGACGTTTCCATCCCTTCCCGCTTGTCACTGCTTTTCCCAAAGCCACGGCGCTTTTACATCAGTGGAATAGTTACAATAACCCTTGCTATACATCACCAGTGGAATAGTTGACATGAAACCTCGCTAGCCTTTGTTCTCTGAACTGAGTGTTGCTTCTAGAATTATAGATGCAAAAGATCTTCAAGGGCTGTTTGGTCTGGTTGGACCCCTTGTGCACGTCGCGCATCTATCTTAGGGCTCGTTCGGAGGGGTTCTTTCAGGTTAAAACTTGTATTACTGTAACGGAGCCTGCAGAACTGTCGACTTCCTAGTTTATTTTGACCTGCGTAGTTCATTTTGGCCTTACTAGAGCCGCCTTTGCTACAGTAAAATATATAGTGCCAACTACCAAGCGTGTGCTGCAACATTTTCGAAACACCACCAAACAAGCCCTTATAGCCTATTACATACAAAATCCAACGGGTGAGATTGTTGTCCGGGTTAGGAAGCCATTTTCGGCTCCAAACCACACATCCCCTGTTTGTGGTTTGAACGCACTTGAACCAAATTAAGAAAACCCAAAAAAAGACTGCAATTGAGTTGAGTTGAAGCCAAAACAATCCATTGAACATCCCAGAGTAGTACAATGGATGCAGATTTTGCATTATACACAAAACAAATCCGGGCTTTTTATGTGGAGCGCTGCTGGCCGTGTAATCTGGACCTACTAATATCTCCGTGATTCCAGTGTTATATATGTACATAAAATGAAACGAATCCAATTTGTGGGAGCAGAGCAGAGGAGAGCAGGACAGAATCCTTCATCCTTCTTCTAGGCACCGATCCTGCCGAACCCGCCGCCGCCGGCGGCCATCATGAGCTTGAACTCGTCGAACGACACGAGGCCGTCGCCGTTGCGGTCGACGCCCTGGATCATGCGGCGGCACTGCGCGACGGTGGCGGACTCCCCGAGCCCGCGGAGGACGCGCGCGAGCTCGGCGGGGGTGATGAGCCCGTTGCCGTCGGCGTCGAAGACCGAGAAGGCGTGCCGGAGGTCCTCCTCGACGGCGTCCGCGTCGGCGGAGGCCGACTCCATGAGCGCCGCGAACTCGGGCAGGCTGATGTAGCCGTCGCCGTCCGCGTCGGCCTCCTCCATCATCCGCGACACCTCGTCGTCGGTGGCCGCGTGCCCCACGCTCGCGAACAGCGCCGCGAGCTCGGCCCGCGAGATCTGCCCGTCGCCGTTCGCGTCGAACTTGCGGAACACGCGCTCCGTCTCGTCGTCCGCCCCGGCTGTTGGCGTCGCGGGGGCGGCGGGCAGGTTACGCCGCGACGACGACGACCTCCGAGCGAACGGGGATGGGGACGGGGAGGGCGGCGCGGAGGAGAGGGGCGAGGACGAGCCTGCACGGGCGGCGCCACCGGCGGTGGCGCGCTTGCCGCTGCGGGAGCGGGAGAAGAAGGAGCGGACCTTGCCCATGGAATTAATTGGAACTGGCGCAAGGAAAGGAATTGATGTCGCTGGTGATTATTGGGTTGCCTGTTGCGGCGCCTTGAAGATTCGATGCTGGTTGATGAGGAGAGGGGCGGGGAATGCCGGAAGCGAGGAGCGCGGGATTTTATAGGCGGGCCGCGGGAACCGGACGCGGTTGCGGTGGTTGTTTCCGTTACGGGCTCGGTAGACTGGATTCGAACGAAGTGGAAGGAAGGCGCGCGGTTACGCGTGGGCGGTGGGGAGGCCGCTCGGGAGCTGGCAGCTCCTGCCAGCTCAGCTCGAAGCGCGGTTTGGGCTCGCTGGCTCTGCTGCGGTTTGCGCGCGTCTCTCGCGTCGGATGACGACGCGGTTGGCTGGTGGATCTCGTATACGATCGTAAATTTTTAGCTGGAACAGTATTTTTCTTTCACACCAAATTAGTCAGCAGTAATAATCCACGATCCAGCCACGAACCAACCAGCCATCCGAACAGGCTGATAGTCGTCAATCCCTGGAGCCCCGAGGCACGGATAGGCAAGGATGAGATAAGAACGGATATCGGTGATGTTATATTTATTTGCATATTTTTGTTTGATTCGGAATCGAATACGGATAGTATCAGCTACGTTAGATAGAATACGATTGAATATAGACATCATAAATATACAATTTGGATATTCAGATACGGAATATGGCCGAAAAATATCCGTACCGTTTTTGAACCGTACGGATAAGGCTGCCAGGCGTGCCAAGAAGCGCGCGGGCAAGGCAAGCACCTGGTTTTGCGGCTGGGACGCGAAGGCTAGATGGAGATCATGCGGCGGCGCGTGGATCCAGCGGCACCAGGGTTGGATTTTGGAATCCAACTTGCCTCCACCCGGCCCTCGAGACGGGCATGGATATCAGACACGTGCAGCGGTCCAGGGGCTTCAGCCTGTTCGCTTGCTCGTAAACGATCGTAAATTTTCAGCCAGAAGCAGTGTTTTTCTCTCACACCAAACCAGCCAGCAGTAAATAATCTATGATACGATACGGCCTTCCGAACAGGCCGTTGGGCGATGGATCCTGAATGGCCCTGTTTTGTGACTTCTGTTAATTTCGGCAGCAGAGCAGGTGGAGTCGTACCATCCACGTTAGGACAAAGGAGAGCTTTTGCACCCGTGATACAGGAGACGGAACTATTTTCTTCATGCTAACACAAGTAGGGTGTGATTGTTTGGTATACACATGCTCTAGCTAGGCTGGTAGGATGCAAGACTTTACAAATACGTAGTTTTGGATGTTTCTTGAGGCCGGGCTCGCAGGATGCAAGTGTTTATCCTAACTAAGATACATATGTTAGTATTATTTAGTATTTGATGATTTGAGTGTAGTACTGACTGAGACTGAACGCGCCATATTTTTCTTAGTTTTGGCTTGCTAGAATAATATTCTAGACCCAGGGTGTAAAATAGCACCGCCGATCATAAGTATTAATAATTTTTTGGGGTATATATATGGGCAAAACTTGAGATTGCTCGGCAAGCCAACTCGTTCCGGCCATCAGCATCGGAAGCGCCCTTGGCTGGTGTGCCCGTGACCCATCCAGGAGCGGCCGACTGCGGCCCGCGATCCATCAGGTTCGTCCCGCCGCACCGTGATGGAGCGAGGGTTAAAGCGTCAGACGTCAGCTGAGGCCTGAGGTGCTCGCGCGTCACTTTTGGCGCAGTCCCGGACAGACTAGGGCCCGTGCTGCCCGGATCGCGTCCGCGTGGCCGTGGCGTGTGCGTGAGGAGACGGAGAGGGTCGATGAGCGCGTGTTTAGTTCCGTGAATTTGACAACTTGGGTATTATAGCACGTTCGTTTTTATTTGGCAAACAGTGTTTAATTATGGACTAAATAGGTTTAAAACGTTCGTCTCGCAATTTACAACCAAACTGTACAATTAGGTTTTTTTTCGTCTACATTTAATACTCCATGCACATATCGTAAGATTCGATGTGATAAGTACTGTAGCACTTTTTTGGATTTGGGGTAGCAACTAAACACGCGCGAGACGATGACGACTCGGCGTCTCATCCATGGTCCATCGCGTGGCATGGGACCTGCGGAATCCGTGCGTGGTGACCGGTGAGCCAGACCGCGGCCGTGCCGCCGTAGCATCGGCGTCGTTAAGGATGGCAACGGGGATATACTCGTCGGATATCGCCGGAACGTTCTCTTCCCCGCTACAGAGAAATCATCCAATCCCCGTTAACTGTCTCGGGTATAGATTCTTGCCCATCTCCGTACCCATCGGGCATCGGTCGGGTAACAGATACCCGACGGGTACTGCATACCCGATAAACAAGGACACTTGGGGTCGCAGCTTTGCAATCGGAGACGTTTCTTCTTCACCCGGGTATAAGTGTCGGAGTCTCGGAGATGCCGAGGAGAAGGAGCGAGGTTGCGAGGAGGACGAGCAAAGGTGGTAGAGAGACCTAACTGAGAAAGCGAGGGGCACGAGCGCTTTTGAGGCAGGCGTGCTTGTGCTGCTGGCGGAAATGGTGATGAAAAATTGAACTAGGGTTCCTAGAATACACAAACTATATATATGATTGTTCAGATTTGGGTCAAAATACCTATGTTGAGCTTCTTTGGGCCTAATACTCACATGACAGCTCAAATAGTCGGGTTCCCCAACGGGTAACGGGGACGGGTAAATAGGGAACGTTCTCGTACCCGCTATACCCATCGGGTATGGATTCTTGCCCATTTAAATATCCGTGGGTAAAAATGTGATTACATCCCCGTCTCAAATAGATCAAATACCCGTCAGGTATCGGGTATCGGGGGGCGTTGCCATCTTGAGGCGTCGTGACCGGGTTGGTTGGTTGGTCATCGACGGGGGCCGGTCGCCCCAAAGGACGATGTCGATTGCGCAGGACCGTACTACTGTCACAGTTTATTATTCTTTTTCCTCAAAGTACGTACTGCCCGGCGTCAAAGTTTTTTTTGCGTCAAGCTGACAAACGCACGCTGTCACAGTTTACTATTCTTTTTCCTCAAAGACCGACTTCGTTTGAAATTGCATCCAAATCGCAACGTCTCCAGCCAAAAAGAAAGCCGGAAGGTACGGTTCGAACATCTATACGCGTCGGTAGTGTACGTAACTTCGTTCTTTATTTAGACGCGACGAGTCTTTATGACTATCAGTTCCAGCAGACGTACACCGAGGGCGTCCTCAATTGCAAGTTTTAAATAACTAGCTAGATTAGGTTTAGAGCATCTAGAAGCAGCAGCAGAAGGAGGACTAGTCAAAAGGACACGTGGAGTTACCTCACCTGGACGTGCGTCCTTGCGTCTGTCCGACGACGACGTATGTAGCGCCTTTTCGGCTTTTCCTCTCTCTCGCTAAAATAAGATGGTTCTAGAAAGTTCCTGGGCTCACTGGTCAAATTGCGAGATACTGTGCTGCACCATCCTTGATGGGACGTCGCACTCTGACGAAGCGAAGATGATGCTGATGAGTGGAGATACCTGTCCGCTTCGCGGGCACGATCACACGAAACAGCACCGAGGCTTCCCCAGAAGATAGGAGTACTACAGTATTCGTTTGTGTACTCCATGATTTCTTGCGCGGAATAATAACGCAAGATCGTCCAGTAGCCTTTCCCGGCTTATTTCAGGGTGGGAGCAGAAAGAAACTAGCAACCTGTGTTTCTGTTTCTGCACGTTGGCTGTCGAGATATCCCCACTACGACACAACATACCTTTGCCGACACCTTCTACTGTGGGCAAAGGGCACCTTTGCCGACAGATAAGCTCGCACAAAAAGATTTGCCGACAGTTTAAAAATAGTCGTGGTAGAAGCAGTCGGCGAAAGTTTTGCCGACAGTTAACAGAAACGCCGACACTTTTAGTGTAGTCAAATGGTATACTTTTGCCTGTAGTTGAAACATTTGCCGACAGTTAGACCTACGCCGACAGTTTAAACCTTTGCCGACACTTTTTATGTTGGCGAAGCCATTTCCAAGGCATTTTATGAATCATGCCCTCATACACAAATAAACTATATATAAAATGTAGATATCAATACAATTTGAATAGTTTGACAATCCACTTTTGTTTATAGAGAAGGCATCACATTAAGTAAATCCACTTGATTTTATAGAAATAATATATTAGAACTTCCATAAAAAAAATCTAGGCCTTGCTAAACTACTGTTTCTTCAATTGACTTGAGGAGCTACAAGCCAGTATAGAGTTCTAGTTCCAATATCACCGAATAGTAATCTAGAATATGTAACCAATTTCTAGGTTGTTTGGAAGCCCTAAAAATTCAGCTCGCGCAGTTTCCTACCAAATAGAATGATATTTTGAACGTTTTAGCATTGTTGTGTACTCATGATACATGAACATCACAACTCAAAATATATGAACCTATAGACCTAAGAAAAGAAAGGCACGCTTTATTACCATAGTGTCCAATAAGCCTTAGACTATTTGTCTCCTGGAATCACGTTTACTGAGAACAGAAGGGGGAAAATCAGATCAGGGATAGCCTCACCGTTGCTCGGCGTGGACGACCCTCTTCTTGGTCCCGCGTTCGCTATGGCTGCCTTCTCATCTAGGTCGAGGGAGGTGTGGCCAGATCTGGCACCGGCAGCCACGCATGCAACACCGGCGGCGACGACATGGTGGCGCGTCATTGGCTGCGGCGTCCAGCGGACTTAGTCACGCGAGGTGGCGAGTGCGAGGGAGGCGCTCCCAGATCTAGCGCAGGCTGCTGCACAGGCGAGATCCACACGATAGGTGCCCCGGCCATCATCCCTAGCGGCGGACGATGGGGGCAACGAGCCGTAGGGGCAGTGGGTTGGTGGCGCTTTGGCACGGGAAAGGTAGGGACGGCGCTGCAGCGGCGTGGGGTTGGCGGTCATGGCCCATGGGGGCGGCGGAGGATTGAGATTTTCTTTCCTTTTTTTGAGGGTGTGCAGGCCGGTGGCAAAGAGTTTTATGTGCCTATACGGGGAGCGTGCGGGTCTCT